TAAATTGAATGATGTTTGTTATGAAATGCATATTTTCTGCCTGACTTAATTGTAGCAGACTATCCAGGAGGCTCAAGATTGTTCATGCTATTTTAACACTATAAGTTAGCTAGTATAGCAGAGCTTCACCGCATCAATCGCCAGTGACCAGGAAGCTCAATTGGTTAGAAAGTCTGTCTAGGGTTTGGAGGTCCTGGGTTTGAATCTCGGTCTGGCTATGCAATTGCTTCCTCTCTTACAGTGGTGTCTGATACCAACCCTTGTTTCTAGTACAGTGTGTATACTTGGCAGGGGGATACCAAGATCAAGATTCAAGATTTTTTCATTACGCTCTGACACACAAAGTGTGTAACAAGAGGTCAAACAAAATAACATTAATCAAATAAAACACGACAGAGAGAGTAGATTACACATGGACAGATTCAGCATTCAGCATACCTGAAGCTATAGTACAGTAGCATATTGTCTATAGACCTGAAGACTTCGAAAAAGGAGAGAGGAATGAAGTAGAACTGGACTGCGTCAATTGCCGACGACCTGAGGTAGCTCAATTGGTAGAAGGTCTGTCTATAGTTTGGAGGTCCTGGGTTTGAATTCTTGTCTGGCTGTGCATGACTGACCAACCCTTGTTTCAGGTACAGTGTACATGTGTATGCTTGGCATATTGGGATAGCTGAAGCTGTAGTGTTGTCTACAGAGGCAAAGACATGGCAAAAGGAGGGAGGAATGTAGCGGAACTGGACTGCATCGATCGGCGGCGACCTGAAGTAGCTCAATTGGTTAGAGCCTCCTAAACTAATTCGCCCTTGAAAGTTCATAATGAACTATTCCAACCTTTGAATTGGAAGAGTTCAAATGTGTCTTAAGGGGTGAATGAGTTAAAGAGTTTGGATATGTCCTAGGCACGAATCCCAGTGTTGCTGTGCAGTTTTTCCTCTCCTGTTACATTCGTTAAGACAGTTTGATTTGTCGTCACTCTTTATAGATCACTTATCCGGACCACCATGGAATGTTTTAACCGAGAAATTCTAATTAAAAGTATCACACAATATATTCTGATTAAAAACTGAACAATATTCAACTTGTCAATTGGAGAAGATCTCTCAAGGACTCAAATTTTAAATTTTAAGATAACAATGTTATTTCCAAGAAATTAAGAATGAACAAATAATGACCAAGAGGAACCTACTAGTTAATACTTAGATAGATCCATTCAGTAATTTTTGAGAAAGAGTAATAAGAAGAATTTGACAAAGATGGATGAAGACCATGAACAAATGACAATACAGCTCTAACTTTCCAAAGCAGAAACGAGGAAAACTTGGAGATCCACTAGCAGATGTTGTATCATGGTCATTTCTTCTTTTGAAATTTTTCCAAAGCAGAGATTAGGGAATAGGTTTTCCCCCTGGATTCACTCTGAGATTGTTGGGAGACCAGTTATAATATTTTGCTCTGATTAGTCTGTATAACCTAGAAATCTCTGATGACAGTGAGTTAGACCGATGGAACAGTGTTACTTAAAAAAAATTATAACCTAGTAATCTCTGATGACAGTAAGTTAGACAGATGGAACAGTGTTACATAAAAAAATATAACCTAGTAATCTCTGATGACAGTAAGTTAGACAGATGGAACAGTGCTACACACTGGAGTTCTACTGAAAGCATATATAGAGCGCTCGTTTTTTTATTTTTTTTATTTCGCTTTAAAGTTAAAACAGCATTATACATTTTGCATGACAGTTTCACAACAATATCTTTACTAATCATTCTTTTTCATTAGACATTTAAATTATTCACACACTCGTCAGACAGAAAAAAATCGAGGAGAAAGACACTAATTATTCACACACTCGTCAGACAGAAATAGTCAAGGAGAAAGACACTAATTATGAAACATGCTTTTCCAGTTGTTTGATGAAAATTAAACTAACAACATAAATATTTTTAACAAAAATCAGTGTTTGTACAGTACATCACATTGAATTGTAAACATATATATAATCCTTTCACTACTGTAGACCATAATGGACTCATCCATATCAATGCAGGGTAGAGTCTACTAAAGTTACATAGGGGTGAAAGGAATAATAAGCAGGTGGGTTGCTGTATGAGTCATTGATCATCTTTATTATAACCTTCATTTCAATAGGAAGATAAAAAATGGCTGATACTGTACTCATTCACCCCTAAAGACACATTTTAACTCTTCCAATTCAAAGGTTGGATAGTTCATTGTGAAACTTCAGGGGTGAATGAGTTAATATCTATGCAAAAGATTCAATAATTTAAAATATTCTTTAGGATCCTTTCAAATATTTGTCAAAAATATAATTTGTTGTCCTATAATTTAGGAACTGTATTCATTGCAGTCTCTCCATATAACATAAGGCAGGGAACTGTGAAGTCCTCAATCTTATTTTATTATTTATTTAAATTAGGACGAATATTTCACACATAAAATTACAGTTATTTTCGTATTCCATGAAAACTTCAATGTACACAACACAACATCATATGATTTTTACGAAGCATCTTTTAAATTTGATGAAATAAATATTAATTTGTATATCCTTTCTATGTGTTTGACCATATCATCAGATAAATATGGCACATTATAATTATTTGTCTTGCCGAAAAGGTGAAGCCTGTGAGGGTCCTTGTTCAATAAGACACCTTCCTTGGTTCAGTATTTAATACAGGTAGTCATATGTGTGTTTCCTTGACTTTTCCTGCTCCTGATCATGAGCTATTGTTTAAATGATTTGAAGAATAGAAATAAATGTTTCCCACACGAACACTGAGATAGAAGCTACATTGACTTACCTATAGTTATTACTACCTGCATATTTTATGTAACTTCTGTTTGTTTATGTATTTTTATTGTATCATTGTTTCCTGGTGGCTGTTTATCTCTGTTATATGTTGTGATATGTAAATTTTCATGTTCCTGTTGATAAAGGGGCGAATTGCGAATTTGCCCATATACACATCTATCTAAGTAATATGCATCCAACAAAATTTGTTTGTTCAAATCCAGTGCCAATATTGAATCATACTGTCGTTATTACTTACAAGACCTATATTACTCCCTGATGTATATATACATTTTGTATTATTAAGCGAAATTCCGATTATTGATTATCATCGAAAATCAGTCGATCACACAACATATTCAAATTCCAATCAATCAATCGTGAATATCCATAATCAATAAATTGGTTTAAATTATTTCATGTTAATCATTTGCCGTAAATTTCTCCTTGTCATCTATCTACAATGCTAGTTTGCTGATGGTTATATAGACAACACTTGAAAATATTACACTGCAAAACCCAATACTATACTACATGTATATACTTGAACATTTCACATATTTGAAAAGAAATTATCAAATTGTGTTTATTCTGACTATGATCGATAATCGTTCATGAATAGTTTTCCAATTATCAATTATGATTTCTCTTTCTTGCTCAAATTCTAATCACTAGTACAGAATGTATTTATATATATATATTAAAAAGAATTTTATAAACTGTCTTGATTGAGGTAGGTCCTTATAAGGATAATAATTTATGTGTAACATCAATATTTCATTTTTTAAGCAATATAAAAATGTTTAACGAGTTAAATAAGCATGAAAATTCACCCGAACTAATGCATAAATAACAAGAGGCCCAGAGGGTCTGTATCGCTCACCTGGATATCTAAGCAATCATGGCAAAATATTCTCTAAATGAGATCCAAGGGAATATGCCAGACCCAAGGCCAATCCTTGTAGTAGAGTATGTCTGTATTAGATTTTTCTTGCCCAGCAATTTTATGCATGGTTATGGGGTGGGGATCTCAACTGTTTCCAAGCTGTGACACAGAAACCAGGTCCCTAGGGTTGTGGCCAGACCCCAGGATCAATTCTAATATCATGACTACATTTGTCTCTTTTTGCCAAGCATTTGTATATATTGTTTTGGGGTGGGGATCTCAACCGTTTCGAAGTTATGACCCAGGGGTTAAGTCTGCAAGGTTGGGGCAGACCCTGGGGTCAATTCTAATATCATGACAGCATTCGTCTCTTTATGCCCAACAATTGTTTATATAGTTTTGGGGTGGGGATCTTAACCATTTCAAAGGTATGACCCAGGGGTTAAGTTTCCAAGGGTGGGGCAGTCCCGAAGGCCATCCTGGAAGCATATGTGCATTCATCTCTTTATACTCAGCAATTGTATATATGGTTATATGGTGGGGATCTCAACCATTTCCAAGTAATACACTTTTTTTAGTCCCACTCATTAGCCCCGGGGGGGGGGGGTCAGCCCTACCATTTGTACAATTTTAAATCCCTGCCTCTCATGAATGCTTCCACCCAAATATGATCGATATCCATGGCATAGTTCTACAGAAGAAGTTGCTTAAAGCAATATAGCCAAATTGCCCCCTTTTGTCCCCGCCCTCAGCCCCCTGAGGGGTCAGCCCCACCATTTGTACAATTTTGAGTCCCCACCACCTAGGGAGGCTTACAATCAAATATGGTTGATATCTATCTCTTAGTTCCAAAGAAGAAATCATGTAAAGCAATATAGCCAAATAACCCTTTTTGGCCCCGCCCCTCAGCCCCCTGGGGGGTCAGCCACACCATGTGTACAGTTTTGAATCCCTGCCTCCCATGAATGCTTTCGATTAAATATGATTGATATCCAGTGCATAGTTCTACAGAAGAAGTTGTTTGTAGCAATATAGCCAAATTGCCCCCTTTTTGCCCAGCCCCTAAGACCCCTGAGGGGTCTGCCCCACCATTTGTACAATTTGAATCCCTACCACCTAGGGATGCTTCCAATCAAATTTAGTTAAATTCCAATCAGTGGTTAAGAAGAAGATGTCGTTTAGAGAAATTGTTGACGGACGGCGGACGGTGGACGGCGGACGGACGACACAGTATGGCATAAGCTCACCTTGGTCCTTCGGACCGGTGAGCTTATAAAAAAAATGATATTTACTTACCATTGACTCTGCGTTCTCTGCCTTTCTGCCAGGCATGTGTTCAGAGTTATCCCCCTTTTCATTTAGGCTATCACTAGATGTCACTTTGATGTTACAGCTGTCTGTATCATGATTTGGCATATTATTGAACTCCTCTTTACTGTGATCAGAATAATCATCAGGTTTGGCACCATTATTTAGAGAGTTGTCTCCCTGCAATTTACTTAATTTATTAATTTGACTAGAGTTATCTCCTTTAGAATCACAACCACTGTTAGAGACCCCTGATATGTTGACTGAGTGAGACGAATTTTCCACTGAATTGTTATTATGCTCGATATCCCCAGGTTGTTGTTGTGAAGTCATCTGAGACATTTTGTCCTCATTTTCAACAAAAACCTGCGGTACAATTTGGTCGTTGCACATTACAGCTGAATTGGAGTTTCCCTGCTCATTCCATTTCTCAATTTCTTCAATGGAAAGCCCTCGAACCTTTCTGTCATTCAAAGGCCCTTTACTACTACTGGTCACTTCATGACCTTTATCTTGACTGACCACGTGCACTTGACCTTCGAGATTTTCAACATCTGGAGTCATCATGATTCTGTAACTTCCTTCTGTGGTAGTGGAACAGCTATCAGAACTGTCTGATGAAGCGCCATCTACTGGTGCTAATGTACAGGTGGCTCCACCTAGTGGCAGTATATTAGCACTGGTGCTACCACCTTCTGTCATTGGATATAACTCCTGCATTTCATCGGAGTGTTCTGATTGGTCTTTCTCTTCAGATATGTTATCACTACTGATGTCGTTCTTTTCAGCTCCGTCTAATTCTGTGGCCTCTGGCCGCTCAGGATTCGTCTGTGTCACCGTGGTGATAGCTGTGGCCAAGATGTTCCTGATGAGGTGACTAGCATATTCCTCCACACTGGTACAGGCTGACAGGCTGGCCACCTCACCACTACAAGGCGACACCTCATTCTCGTCGTGTCTGTTCTGCAAGTTTTTTACCGAGTTAGCACAGCTTGGGTGCACAGAAGAATCATTCTCCAGTAGCAAATTTGGTTCACAAGACCCATTGATTTTTGGAACATCAAATATGTCCAATGAGTTCTGCTTTAGAGCCTCTACATTTCTGGGTACATTTGACTCAGATGCCTCCTCTAGGGCCTCAAAGTTTCTGGGCATTTCTGAGAAACATTTCTCGTCAGAGGTCTCAAAGTTTTTAGGTAATTCTGATGAACTATTTCCCTCCAATGCTTCCCTGTTCTCAGCTGTGTAAGGTTCCGAATTTCCTGGAATGGTCTCTGCATGCTGAGCGACACCAAACCAAGATTTATCTTTGAGAGCCTCTAGGTCCTTGTCACCACTTATCTTCCTGAAACTGGTACATTCAATGACCTCCTTCTCACTGGAGGTTGAAAGATCAAGGTTACCATGGAGAGGGTCAATACGGGAGAGGTAATCTGTCTCAACTGTGATGGAGGCTGAGCTTGGAGTTTTCTTTAACTGAACTGAAAATTGAAATAAAGAAATTTAATAACAAGAAATTATGTCAATATGCAAAAAAACTACAGTGTGTTGATCTACACATTTGTATTCATAATTTTTGTTGCATCTCAGTAAATGGGATGAATATATATATAATATTTCTCACAAGTGCATCAATGGAAAATTCCCTTCAGGTTAAAGTTCCCTTTCCAAATAGACACAAACTTTTATCAACAGACCACCCTTCGGGAGCCCAAAACTTAACATAGTCACTGAACGCAGGTTGTCTTGTAAAACAGGTTTAGTTCACAATGAAATTAGTACAACGGGAAATACTAAAAGTGGTCTCTTAACACAGGTGGTCTCTTAACACAAGTTGTCTCTTAACACAGGTGGTCTCTTAACACAGGTGGTCTCTCAATAGAGATGGAAACATGAACAGGTATAGACTGTACCTTATAACAAGAGGCCCATGGGCCTTAACGGTCACCTGATATATTTATACAGAGAGTTGATTTTGTTTTTAACATGAACAGAAATATTATTCAAAGTGACAAAAAACAATAAAACCACCTTATTCAATATATAGCATACAGATTTCAGACTAAAAAGTATTTGAAACTAGCACCTCTGATTCTAAACAAGGAAAATGAAGAAATTTTAGCACACTGACTCCTTTGAGCCCCACCCTACAGCCCTTGGGGGTAGGGCTGGCTCAAAACTTTAAAAGTATCAAACTGTCAACTCAAGGTTATAATCAAGTTATTAACATGTAATATTCCAAGTATCATTTGCCAATATAAACCATAACAAATCCCCCCCCCTCCTTCCCCAAGGGGTAAACGTGAGAATTTTGAAATTTCAGTCAATTCAACCCCTTTTGGCCCCACCCAACAGCCCCTGGGGGTCAGTCAGGGCTCATATGAGCATACTATCAAACTGCTACCTAATACTGATAATGCTAACCCAAATTGAATTACTTCAATGGAAATTAAACAAATGTTGGTCCAAAATGTGATTTCCCTATATAAACTATAGTAAAGTTTACCCCCTCCCCAGGGGGAAACATGACACCGCAGGGTCAAGAAATTCACAATTTTGGTAAAGCACCTTTAGACCCTTCCATCTATGAAGAGTATTTGATTCTTCCATATCTGGGTCTTGAGAAGCAGATTTTTGAAATTTCAGTCAATTCAACCCTTTTTGGCCCCACCCATCAGCCCCTGGGGGTCAGTCAGGGCTCATATGTGCATACTATCAAACTGCTACCTAATACTGATAATGCTAAATCATGACAGCAAATATTTATACCCAGTAAGCAATATATTACAAAGTAAAACATTGTTATACTGCCACCATTTGTCCAGAGAAACTTTGGTGCTATAAAGAGATTTGGCGATTAATTGAGGGAACTGTATAAAGGAAAAACAAACAAAAACGGGACATAGAAATACATTGGTAGAAAGGAAGGTACCAAATGAAACGAGGGGCATAACATTAAGGGTTCACTGTACGTAGTTTTTTAAGGAGCAATTAAGACTAAATACATTTTAGTAGGCTTTACACAGAATCTACCAGTGAAGGGAGAATATTTCAGTGAGGCAATTTTTCTTTAACTGAACTGAAAATTGAAATAAAGAAATTTGATAACAAGAAATTATGCCAATATGCAAAAAAGATACAGTGTATAGATCTACAAATTTGGATCCTTGATATTTATTGCATCTCATCAAATCGGATGAATATACATCTAATATTTATCACAAGTGCATAAATGGAAAATTCCCTTTAATTTAAAGTTCCCTTTCCAAATAGAGACAAACCTTTCAGTGAGGCAATCCTAACTTAAAAACATCTAATGTAATTATCTTATGTTTAATAGGGATTCTACAGAAACCTACTGAAATAGCTAATGAAAATCATAGAAATAGCTGATGAAAATTATAGAAATAGCTGATGAAAATTGTAGAAATAGCTAATGAAAATTATAGAAATGGCTAATGAAAATGATAAACGTTTCCTACCATTGTCAAATTAAACAATTACAAGATTTTATTTCAACATTAACCAAATAACATTAACAAGCTGTCTTTTTCCCACAAAAATCACAATCCTTTGACTTATACTGGTAAAGTGACAATAAAACAAAAGGTTTACCTGGAAATGTTAAGCCTTTGTTAAATGCCATTTCGAGAGGATAAGAAGAGTTCTCTCCCATGCTGGGTTGAAGAATTCCCATAATGCTCTTTGCCACATTTGGATTCGACATATTGGGGAATACATCTACAGCATTTGCTATCATCTGTCCTGCCAAAGAATAAACATAATCCTTAAACACACGCTCTTCCTGAATATCGTCACATGACCCTTTACTCCGATTTCCACTCAGGTCACCTTGAGGAGATTGTCCTTCACCTTGTTTGATGTTTCCTGTATTATGACCTTGACTTTGATATTCTTGTGATTCCTGGTTACCATAGTTACCTGGATCATCCTTGTCAAAGGTCAAATCTGATTTGTTATATTCCATCCCTACGTCTTGGTCTCTCAACATCGCACAAGCTATTTCCATGGCAATAACATTCATATCACCTGTACTTTGACCTTGGTCAGATTCAAGTTCACAGCTAGACCCTGACTTCAGATTATCAGCTCTATCAGAGTTAGACACCCCAGTAACACTATCACTGAAGAAACTGGACTGAATCACTTTCTGACTAGAGGTCACAACCTCGGGGCTATGATTTCTGACCTCTGACCTGTGACCTTTAATGGCCTCTAGATGTGAGCTAAGCAGACTTGGATCTACAGATTTATCCATGTAGGCATGGAACTTGTTCTCCATGAAGCTGTTCTGTGGAGTAAATGGCACAAAGTCATTAGGTTTGCCGCCTTGCGACATCAATATATCACCGCCAATACTAAAATCGGAGTTATCTCCCATTGATGATCTTTTCTGTTGTATCTTCTGTACCATGTCTGAGCTGTTGAAGCTGGGTAGGTTTTGCTCTTTGGCGTACCAATCAAATCCTCCATCAATGACGCTGTTTTGCGGGGTGTAGGGCACACTATTACCTGCCGATCCACTACAGGACGGATTGCCGCTGCTGGCCGAAAGTAAAGCCTTCTTATCCTGAATCTTCCTCAGCATTTCAGAACTATTAAAACTTGGTAAGGAATGTTCTTTACCCATAAACCCACCGTCCATGAAGCTGTTGGGCGGTGTGACAGGATAACTGGGAAAACCTGATCCGGGACGGGATGCAGTTGCCGAGGAATTTCCCGAACATCCGTTTAAACCCGTTACCATGATATCTGGTGTGCGTGGCGACTCCAAAACGTCGGATTCATTCAACTCTCCAAGGTCGTCATCCAAGTTGACAAAGTTTAAGGTTGGGACTACGTGGGAATATCTATCACTTGCTGCCTGACTTCGTGTTTCACAGTTCTGACTGGTGTTATTATCGGGGATCGAGACTTCAGAAGGAGTGTTGGAGAATCGCAATACGAGAGGGAGAACTTTCTTTCGGGATGCCTTCACATTCTTCTGGTTATAACAGTTTATTCCGTCAAGGCCGACAGGGGGAGGTAACTCTGACAGACCAAGATCTGGGTCAACAGAATTCACTAGTTGTGATGAGAGCTGTAAAAACAAGGAAGGATATCAAACGATGTTATCATAAGGTTGAAATGATATTTCCCCAACTGTGGACATGAAGGGAAATCTGAACCCGGGGGCTTTAAGGCTTAAAGGGTTTAACATTCAAAGATCTTACTAAAACATTTGGCTTTCTTGTACTCTCAGAGGGTTTGTGACGTATCCATCAACTTTTAAAGCATAGAATGTACTGTAATGTACTTATTGCTCATGTTTGTTTAATTAGTAGAACAGTTATCTGTCCAGGGAGGGTCTGTGGTGTAAAAATTATGACATCATATTAATGATGAAGTCAACAATCGGCTCATGGCATTCTTAGCCTAAGTGAAACACATTTGATTATGGAAGAGTAACATAATGGTGGTAACACGTGAAGGTAGAGTAACATAATGGTAGTAACACGTGAAGGTAGAGTAGCATAATGGTGGTAACACGTGAAGGTAGAGTAAGATAATGGTGGTAACACGTGAAGGTAGAGTAACATAATGGTGGTATCACGTGAAGGTAGAGTATCATAATGGTGGTAACATGTGAAGGTAGAGTGACATAATGGTGGTAACACGTGAAGGCAGAGTAACATAATGGTGGTAACATGTGATGGTAGAGTGACATAGTGGTGGTAACACGTGAAGGTAGAGTGACATAATGGTGGTAAGACGTGAAGGTAGAGTAACATAATGGTGGTAACATGTGATGGGAGAGTGACATAATGGTGGTAACACGTGAAGGCAGAGTAACATAATGGTGGGAACATGTGAAGGTAGAGTGACATAATGGTGGTAACACGTGAAGGCAGAGTAACATAATGGTGGTAACATGTGATGGGAGAGTGACATAATGGTGGTAACACGTGAAGGGAGAGTAACATAATGGTGGTAAGACGTGAAGGTAGGGTGACTTAACGGTGGTCAGACGTGAAGGTAGAGTGACATAATGGTGGTAAGACGTGAAGGTAGAGTAACATAATGGTGGTAACTCGTGAAGGTAGAGTGACATAATGGTGGTAACCCGTGAAGGTAGAGTAACATAATGGTGGTAACTCGTGAAGGTAGAGTGACATAATGGTGGTAACACGTGAAGGCAGAGTAACATAATGGTGGTAACATGTGATGGGAGAGTGACATAATGGTGGTAACACGTGAAGGCAGAGTAACATAATGGTGGGAACATGTGAAGGTAGAGTGACATAATGGTGGTAACACGTGAAGGCAGAGTAACATAATGGTGGTAACATGTGATGGTAGAGTGACATAGTGGTGGTAACACGTGAAGGTAGAGTGACATAATGGTAGTAACATGTGAAGGTAGAGTAACATAATGGTGGAAACACGTGAAGGTAGAGTAACATAATGGTGGGAACATGTGATGGTAGAGTGACATAATGGTGGTAACACGTGAAGGTAGAGAGACATAATGGTGGTAACACGTGAAGGTAGAGTCACATAATGGTAGTAACACGTGAAGGTAGAGTAACATAATGGTAGTAACATGTGAAGGAAGAGTAACATAATGGTGGTAACACGTGAAGGCAGAGTAACATAATGGTGGGAACATGTGAAGGTAGAGTGACATAATGGTGGTAACACGTGAAGGTAGAGTAACAGAATGGTAGTCACATGTGAAGGTAGAGTAACATAATGGTGGTAACACGCGAAGGTAGAGTAACATAATGGTGGTAAGACGTGAAGGTAGAGTGACATAATGGTGGTAACACGTGAAGGTAGAGTGACATTTGGTAGGGAGAGCTAAATGTTTCAGGAATTTACTTCCTGTGAGGGATTGACGAAGAAACATGTTATACTGTCTACCTGGAGTACTAAGTCACGGTCCGACGCACACACGGCCAGCTGTCGTCGTGGCTCCCCTGGAACCTCCTCATACAGAGTCATGACAACCACCATGGTTGCTCCTTTGTCAGAGAGAAAGGCCTGGTACTCTTGTAGGAAATCGTCCCTCCTGAGGAACTCCTACAAACAGAGGACATTAATCTACTGGTTCTAGGAAAACAGCATAATTCTAATTTCTCCCATAACCACAATAGGTTTCCTCACTCTCAACTCATTACATAAACACACAAAGGACACTTTAAAACAAGTTGGTTTATAATTACTATACACGTACAACATCAATTTACCGGTACATGTACAAAGAAAAATGCACAATTCTAATTTCTCTCATCACTAAAATAGGTTTCCTCACTGTCAACTCATTAGATAACCCTTTCACCACTGTAGACCATAATAGACTCACCCAGATAAACGTATGGTAGAGTCTACTAAAGTTACCTAGGGGTGAAAGGGATGAACAAAGGACACCTGAAAACAAATACAACATTAATTTACCGGTACTTAAAAAACAGCACAATTTCAATTTCTCTCATAACCACTATAGGTTTCCTCGCTCCCGATTCATTAAATCAACATATTAGGAAGTGGTAATCATGTTTTGTTATCTACAAGTGCGTAACACCCTGGATGTGATTTCATTGGTCAATTCTTTAATGATAACAGCAGGTGACAATGCTTACCACCAACATCTTTTATTGTGATGCCATTATTCACGTTAATTGTTTCTGATTGGAAACGAGGATCATGTATTTCTATGAAACATGTCTTCCAGATATATTACGAGAGTTATAAGAGAATCATGTCCCCAAACTCATGACAGTTGATGAATATGTTTCTCTAACTCTTGTCAGATAATTTTCAGATTTAAAGGACACTTGGTAAACTTTGTCTTTACAAAATTTGAAAATTAACTAACTTGAGTAAAACATGAACTTACCACAACTTATAACATTGGGCAACCTGTCTATCTGAGGAATGTATCAGCAAAACTGGAGGGATAGCGTAACATGAAATATAATTATGTATAACATTGCCACAGTGACTTACTCGCATTTCCATGGAAACAGATGCCATAGCAACCACACGAGAACTGCCCGTCACAATCTTCAAATCTTTCTCCAGTATATCGGTAGTGGTAAGTCCTAGTACCAAAAAAAGAAGACAAATTAGAAAATGTTTGTAACACATATATGTGTGCCCTAGTCTAACAACAGTCATCATCAGTTAAGTGCAAAATACAGGTCACAAGGACCTATATTTCATATATTGGTGCAGTATTCCTCAAAATGTACACATACATTTTATGGCTATTGGACTTCAAATACATTGTAAAAAAATAATTAATTTAGATAATTATGCTACATTTCATGCATAAGTGACTAACTAACAGGAGTTAAAACTCACTATTTTAGCCACTAAAAAATTTTGCAAGTGATAGAAAATTTCACTTGCTCAAGCAAAAACCATCCACAATAAGCCTGGGGTTACATTCACTAACGCTCTCTGCATCCCTTGAATATTTCATAGCAATAACGGAGGTTCAGTGTGCGCCACCTTGTGGATGATACACAAACACTAGTTTGATCCTTTAGAATCCTACAGCAGCATAACGGTAAAATTGACTGGCTTTGAAGATGGGTGTCGCTCCTCTGTAATTTTCAAAGGACAGGTAACAGCATATCGATTGGTCAGTTTTTTTTTTTTACCCGAGACCAATTTAATATGAAAGCTGGCCTCGAAAGTCTTTATCAAGGCCGCTTTCTTTTATCGTGATGCGGACGGTCGGAGCGGTTGGACCAGAGTTGTTCGTTTATGAAATAATGTTGGACCTAGTTACCAGATGCTGTTTTCCGGCGAACTTTTAACAACAGATGAACCGGTTGTTCCGCAGACCTCAAGGCTCACAAAAATGGCCAGAGCAAACTTTACCTGTCAAGTCAAACTTTGCTGCCTGTAGCTGTGTATAGAGTTCTCTCCCCTTGTCACTAGGGACCCAGCCCTCCAGAGTCTGTATGGCTGCAGTGTCTCGCGGTGTAGTCTTCCCTGCAGCTGGGTTCTGATTAATTGTGTCAACCAGAATTGTTCCTACATAGAAATAAACATATATAACTATATAATACACAGGTAATTACATCTTTATTTATAGAAGGTGACATATTAAAGATATAAATCTAATTTTAAATAAGGCCCTGTAAACAACATCTAGACAACTGATATAACAGAATCTAGAGGTTGAAGATCCATTATATACATATCCTTTGAACTGTCCTGATTGACTTTGATATTACTTATAACGTTAACTCATTCACCCCTGAAGACACATTTGAACTCCTCTAATTCAAAGGTTGGGATAGTTCATTATGAAACTTCAGGGGTGAATGAGTTAAATAATATTGGGTTAGTGGACACAAGGACAAGTTTGTAAAACTGTTAACTACTAAGCTAATTGACACATGGCTTTAAGATTGGCTGGAAAAACACTGCAAAAATCTCACATGTCCAGGTTTACAGCAGACACATCCTGTACGACTATCTACACATCTTACCGTACAGTAGAACCGCTACCTCCTGGTCCATGACAAACCCATCGTTATTGTTTACCAGGAGCTCTTCAGCAATTAAAGTACAACAAGATCCAACGGTATCCATGATAACCTGTACTCTGAAATAAATTGGTATTTACGTGAACATTGAGTTACCTCCCCTGTAATGGTTAAATATTTTTTGGTGTTCAGTAAAGGTCATGATTCACCATACAAACACATAAGTAACTAAACATGTATATCAAAATCCTTTGAAAACATGGTTTATATCAGTCACTTGTAGATTATTTGGGAAAAGATTTTATTGGAATACATATGTAATGTTTTCTTTCGTTTTTTTTTTATTAAATTTATTAGTTGACTTCCTTCATTGTTTATATCATTCTTAACGCTGAATCTATCCATACTATATATACACAAAAACTGAAAACCATGACAATCAACATCAATATTCCATGTACTCCTAAACTCTGTCTGGGGGAGATATATTTCCCCAAAAATAATACATAACTTTCAAGAGACTCTTGAACTCGCAACTTTATATACATCTATCAAAATCACGTAGTAATATCTTGTGAAAAATATATTTTTTACTGTTGGTGTGTGAATGAAATGATATAAAACAAAGGATTAGAATGTGGATTTGTGATCATCCAATTTAGAACACTAATAACGTGTAAAGAACAGCTCGGACATAAAATACAAACTTGTCATTTTCTGGTCGCTGTCGAGGACGATGATCAATCACCATGGTAACAGCATCTTCCAACGCAGCATCTGTTGCCGTCAGAACATTGTGATCCACCAGGGTCAACACTAAACACTTAGAGCTGTATAGGGCTGACAGGTCAAGGTCATCTCGAAAGGTTAAAAGGTCAGCCGAGATGCCTTGCTGGCCTAGGAGGAATGTAGTCTCTGTCCGCAGACGGTATTTTTTCCTCAGTATATTTAACACAGGAACGACCAGGCAACCATTGTCTGTCAGAGTCTGTATAACCAATCAAATCAACTACCACTTTATATTGATACTACATGTTGTTTTTAGACTCTTTATTTGACTCAAGGTCTATTGCTTTGTCTTAAGTAAGTGAAGTTATCTCCCCTTATTCATAACATTTTTTTTCATATTTCAACATTTAAAGGAATACTTCTAAATATTGAGTTCCTATAAAACTCAATGCATTTACAATTTGATTTACTTATTAATCAATATTAACAAGCATTAGTTTTTACCCCCCCCCCCCCCCACAAAAAAAATCAAAAAAAATCAATAAATAAATACAAGGAAAACTGGAAGTTAATCAACCAATATGTTGGTCTAAATGACAAATTATGTTACCTTTCAATCGGAACACCTCTACTTATGACAAGATTCTGGTTCAACACTTACCCTGTGACGGTAATAACTATACACTACAGCTGCTATAGCGGAGTCAAGGTCACATGCCTCGTTGCCAAGGACAACATGGACCTTCTGGTAGGAAGACAGGTGATGCTGAAAATCAATTAAATTGAATTATTAGTTTTTTAAAGAGGGCTGCAGTTGCTTATCGCACACATCCTCATACATCACATTTTAGTAACCATGAAAACACAAAATATCAGCAGGTAAAAGATAATTTTACAGTTTTCACACACAGATTGGTCAAGACTGAGTTTTCAATATATTTATAGTCAGATCCAATTTGTTGATCTATTGTTTCAACCACTGTGCTATGATAACATGGCTGGGACTAGTATGTCCATCAAGTGTGGGCTTGCAACTAACAATGTACAACCAAAATATGATTATAATTTTCGATATGTACTCTCTTTTCTGTCTTTCAAATTAAAAAAACCTTAAAAATTGAAATTGCCTTAAATTGCCGGTAATCAGTGTTTACCTGAGCGTCCTTTGTAAACTTTAAATATTCTTCCATGACGGGTGTGGATAAATGATCAGAGATTATTCTGGCCTCCACATAACTACCAACACACAAACAGCCATCTCCATCAAACTGTCTACAACAAAATAATAAAAAGCTCAGTCAAAGGGTATACAACAAAATAACTAATAGCTCAGTCAAAGGGTCTACAACAAAATAACTAATAGCTCAGTCAAACTGTCTACAACAAAATTATTAATCTATACAGTTGTAAGCACAGTGTTTTCATGAAGTAACCTGATCTCTATGTTAAATTAAAGCCAATCAAATGTTAGAACCCAAAATATCTGAAATATATTTTTCCTACCAATATCAATATTATTATATTGTAACTGCATTTTGGGATTAAACCTTTTCAAAAGGCCAACACTAACACTGGTTAACATAAACTACGCTAACACTGGTTAACATAATCTACGCTAACACTGGTTAACATAATCTACGCTTACACTGGTTAACATAAACTATGCTAATAATGGTTAACATCAACAATGCTAACACTGGTTAACATAAACTATGCTAATAATGGTTAACATCAACAATGCTAACACTGGTTAACATAAACTATGCTAACACTGGTTGACATAAACTACGCTAACACTGGTTAACACAAACTACGCTAACACTGGTTAACACAAACTACGCTAACACTGGTTAACATAAACTACGTTAACACTGGTTAACATAAACTACGTTAACACTGGTTAACATAAACCATGCTTACACTGGTTAACATAAACTAGGCTTACACTGGTTAACATAAACTATGCTTACACTGGTTAACATAAACTATGCTAATAATGGTTAACATCAACAATGCTAACACTGGTTAACATAAACTACAGTAACACTGGTTAACATAAACTACCCTAACACTGGTTAACATAAACTAGGCTAACACTGGTTAACACAAACTACGCTAACACTGGTTAACACAAACTACGCTAACACTGGTTAACACAAACTACGCTAACACTGGTTAACACAAACTACGCTAACACTGGTTAACATAAACCATGCTAACACTGGTTAACATAATCTACGCTTACACTGGTTAACATAAACTACACTAACACTGGTTAACATAAACTACGCTAACACTGGTTAGCATAAACTACACTAACACTGGTTAACATAAACTAGGCTAACACTGGTTAACATAAACTACACTAACACTGGTTAACATAAACTACGCTAACACTGGTTAACATAAACTACGCTAACACTGGTTAACATAAACTACGCTAACACTGGTTAACATAAACTACGCTAACACTGGTTAACATAAACTACGCTAACACTGGTTAACATAAACTACGCTAACACTGGTTAACATAAACTACGCTAACACTGGTTAACATAAACTACGCTAACACTGGTTAACATAAACTACGCTAACACTGGTTAACATAAACTACGCTAACACTGGTTAACATAAACTACGCTAACACTGGTTAACATAAACTACGCTAACACTGGTTAACATAAACTACGCTAACACTGGTTAACATAAACTACGCTAACACTGGTTAACATAAACTACGCTAACACTGGTTAACATAAACTACGCTAACACTGGTTAACATAAACTACGCTAACACTGGTTAACATAAACTACGCTAACACTGGTTAACATAAACTACGCTAACACTGGTTAACATAAACTACGCTAACACTGGTTAACATAAACTACGCTAACACTGGTTAACATAAACTACGCTAACACTGGTTAACATAAACTACGCTAACACTGGTTAACATAAACTACGCTAACACTGGTTAACATAAACTACGCTAACACTGGTTAACATAAACTACGCTAACACTGGTTAACATAAACTACGCTAACACTGGTTAACATAAACTACGCTAACACTGGTTAACATAAACTACGCTAACACTGGTTAACATAAACTACGCTAACACTGGTTAACATAAACTACGCTAACACTGGTTAACATAAACTACGCTAACACTGGTTAACATAAACTACGCTAACACTGGTTAACATAAACTACGCTAACACTGGTTAACATAAACTACGCTAACACTGGTTAACATAAACTACGCTAACACTGGTTAACATAAACTACGCTAACACTGGTTAACATAAACTACGCTAACACTGGTTAACATAAACTACGCTAACACTGGTTAACATAAACTACGCTAACACTGGTTAACATAAACTACGCTAACACTGGTTAACATAAACTACGCTAACACTGGTTAACATAAACTACGCTAACACTGGTTAACATAAACTACGCTAACACTGGTTAACATAAACTACGCTAACACTGGTTAACATAAACTACGCTAACACTGGTTAACATAAACTACGCTAACACTGGTTAACATAAACTACGCTAACACTGGTTAACATAAACTACGCTAACACTGGTTAACATAAACTACGCTAACACTGGTTAACATAAACTACGCTAACACTGGTTAACATAAACTACGCTAACACTGGTTAACATAAACTACGCTAACACTGGTTAACATAAACTACGCTAACACTGGTTAACATAAACTACGCTAACACTGGTTAACATAAACTACGCTAACACTGGTTAACATAAACTACGCTAACACTGGTTAACATAAACTACGCTAACACTGGTTAACATAAACTACGCTAACACTGGTTAACATAAACTACGCTAACACTGGTTAACATAAACTACGCTAACACTGGTTAACATAAACTACGCTAACACTGGTTAACATAAACTACGCTAACACTGGTTAACATAAACTACGCTAACACTGGTTAACATAAACTACGCTAACACTGGTTAACATAAACTACGCTAACACTGGTTAACATAAACTACGCTAACACTGGTTAACATAAACTACGCTAACACTGGTTAACATAAACTACGCTAACACTGGTTAACATAAACTACGCTAACACTGGTTAACATAAACTACGCTAACACTGGTTAACATAAACTACGCTAACACTGGTTAACATAAACTACGCTAACACTGGTTAACATAAACTACGCTAACACTGGTTAACATAAACTACGCTAACACTGGTTAACATAAACTACGCTAACACTGGTTAACATAAACTACGCTAACACTGGTTAACATAAACTACGCTAACACTGGTTAACATAAACTACGCTAACACTGGTTAACATAAACTACGCTAACACTGGTTAACATAAACTACGCTAACACTGGTTAACATAAACTACGCTAACACTGGTTAACATAAACTACGCTAACACTGGTTAACATAAACTACGCTAACACTGGTTAACATAAACTACGCTAACACTGGTTAACATAAACTACGCTAACACTGGTTAACATAAACTACGCTAACACTGGTTAACATAAACTACGCTAACACTGGTTAACATAAACTACGCTAACACTGGTTAACATAAACTACGCTAACACTGGTTAACATAAACTACGCTAACACTGGTTAACATAAACTACGCTAACACTGGTTAACATAAACTACGCTAACACTGGTTAACATAAACTACGCTAACACTGGTTAACATAAACTACACTAACACTGGTTAACATAAACTACGCTAACACTGGTTAACATAAACTACACTAACACTGGTTAACATAAACCATGCTAACACTGGTTAACATAAACTACACTAACACTGGTTAACATAAACCATGCTAACACTGGTTAACATAAACTACACTAACACTGGTTAACATAAACCATGCTAACACTGGTTAACATAATCTACGCTAACACTGGTTAACATAAACTACACTAACACTGGTTAACATAAACTACGCTTACACTGGTTAACATAGCCTACACTAACACTCGTTAACATAAACTACAGGTATACCTAACAGTCGGGTCCAATACAAGATAACCATCCATTAATCAGTTTCCCTAACAACCACTATAGGTTTCCCCAATCACCACTCATTGGATGAACCAGCTAGGAGTTAGTAACATTTTGGTTACCCACTAGTGAGTAACATCCCAGACAAACTTCCAGTGATGAATCTCACAATTATGACATCACATAAGAATTCTTTGTGACATCATCTTCCATTGTGACATCATGATTTGTGGCAATTGTTTCCGAACTTGGAAATAGATGCAAAGTATTTCCAAGGGAAATGTGGTTTTGCAGATAAAATATGAATGTTATGGGCCCCGCAAGTTATGGATTGTTTTAAAATTGTAATTACACTCTGTCATGTTTTTTTTATACAATTAGGAATGTGAGAATCCGATCCATCTGTCACCTTTCAGCGACACTTTACAGAAATTTCAAATTATAACCAATCTTCATAATAAACAAGCTACCCAAAAATAATACAATATATTCCATTATCTGATTTAAATCAGTGGGCCTATATATCCAATTAATTAGGGACGATACAAAATTGTCATAATTACTTGGCATATATAATCAACAAATAATCCAGGGTTTGTGTTTATGCCGTCCTCATATTCTTATGAAGCATACAATTTCAATAGGACTTGTCTTCATATCTTTTTTAAAAATAATTCCATCTACCAGTAAACTATGCGAAAGGACCCTTTTATATTTAAAAGGGACACCACTTATGACTCATGCAGTTTTAACACTGATTAATGAATTTAACCAATTAACAAACCTATGTTAATAAATTAATTAGCATCATCAGGAGGCTTCCTTAACGAAATCTACATTCACACATTTACTCACCAGCACAATGGCCGCTATATCTTGTATACCAGGATAATGACACAAAAACCTACAAGAGCACAAGTATCAGTTTGCAATTACAGACGATACACAAGTTTGTCCTCAAATTTAATTTAAACCCCAACACCTAAATGTCAACTACCTAGTACAGATCTATACAATATACCACACGCTTTGTACACACATCGTTTATACCGCAGCAGATAAAGTCAGTTTTCTTCATAAATTATACATTAAAATAATGCCTCAGTAAGTTGTTGACGTTAAGGATTACATCTTGTGTAAACAAACATATCTACTATAATATGTACATGTATACTCAGTGATAAATCTACATGTGAGTCCCAAGTCTTATATATATACTCATACAATTTTGATGGGACTCGTAGAATTTCGGAAAGAACTTAAATTTTACATTGTGGGACCCGTTGTCTTTAGCAATACAGTTGAAAAGGACCCATGAAAATAAATCGTGGATTAATCACTGTCATACTAGTAAAGCGAGTGTATAAATGTACATGTATAAACATGTCAGTCGCTATGGTCATATCTGATCATCTCCATTTTTTATAATTAAGTGAAAACCTTTAGGTCGTGACATTGTGTTTTTAATTGTTTTTAATTATCTCCAATAGCAGTGTAAAACATTATTGGTAATTTAAAACAAGAGACCCAGAGGGCCTGTATCCCTCATCTATTATATATATCTTAAAGCAATCATCACATCCACTTTTTATAAAACATTTTTGTTAAGGTCATAGGAGTGTATTGCTAAACGGAAATAAGAAGTACATCCCAAGTTGAAATTCCAATGTAGGGAGACAGTATCACAATTTCCGCATATTCTAATGTTTAATATTAAACTGATGAATATTGTATGCTTACATGTATTATTGACAGAACAGTGTGTTCTTTCAATATTAAAGTATTGCAAAGCAATCCAGGCATTAATTCAGTTGTTTTTTAATCAATGAGTCACATGTGTCCATTTTACTGTACTTCAGGAAACCGGCTATCTATTTCACTACTGTGAATTTTTTCAAGAACGATAACTCTTGCATGCAATTACTATGTGTATATGGTTTTATTATAAAATGTCAATTTTTAATCGTTTATAGATAATTAATTTTACACAATTTCAGCATTTATGAAATTGATATACATTAATGCAATACTAATCTATGTTAGTATTATTTTTTTTGACATTATTTTGCATTTTTTTTTTCAAAATTCACTCCTTTTTACATAAATTTCCATTTAAAATCCTTAAAATTCTGACAACCTATATTTTTTTTTCTGGCAGAACATTTTCTTTACTTCAAAGCAATATAACTACAAAATTTGAATAAATTCTATTGAGAAATGGCGACACAATCCTATTACCTTAACTGGTCTCGAGAAAGGAGAACCAGGTTGTAGCATCTATTATAACCAAGGGACTAACTCCCTCAGGACAGACCAACGAAACAGACTATCCTGGTATAATTGTCTCACATTGTCCAATTGAGATATTATTGCCCAATTGTGTATATATCACTATAGGGGAGGGGGGTCTCAACTGTTATTAGGCACCACCACTGGGGTTGGAATGAAGCCCCAAATGGATCTGGTATTTGTCCAATTATGTCAAGCATGGTATACTTCGGGGCTTTCAGAAAACTTTAAGGGTATGTTTTGACTCCCTGAAAACAAGCTTTGGTTTTAAAGAACAGGCCTAGGCCTATTTAACCTATTGTTGGATTCCAAAATTGGGGGAACATTCTAATTGATATCTGAAAAGGCTAAATTCAAAGTTATGACTCAAATTTCCCTTTAGGTCCAAGCCCTTGGGGTTGGGCTTGAATTCAGGATATATTATTCAGATGGATATCGTACCAGGTGAACTGGATTTGGGAAATGTAATGGCTATGCATATAATCCCCATTGCAGGTAGAGGGATAGGGAGTGTTAATTGTTTCAGACATTTGTTTTGTTATGGTCTTGTTCCATTTCAATCCAAATTTGATTTCCATGGTTTTAAATTTCTAAAAGGGATAATAAACATCTCCAATATTTACTATGAAAATATAGGGCAGCTTGTAGATTTTTTTTTTAATCTCTCTGTAGGTTTTTATTTTAAACATGATATTATTGTACATGTCTTTGTAACAGGACAACAAAAATACACGGCTTGACCGGGGTTCAAACCTGGGACTTCGAAACTCTAGACAGATGCTCTACAATTGAGCTACCTGGTCATTGACGCTACACCTGCATATATTCTGTTTAGAATTGCACGTGTGTACTTAAAATTATGGTAAGTACAGATAATCTGATAGCTGTTGTATTTAAAGGCTGAACTATTGTGTTGAACACCCTGCTGCATGTCCAACAATTACGAGGAAATGAATCAGTTGATATCTGTGTGAAATTCCTATTTACTTTTCAGACCAGAGTTACAGAATGCACAAAGACACACAACTATTGGATTATCTGGAGGTTTTTAATTCATCAAATTGATATATTTATCTTTCTCTTAGAATATTTTAATCATGAGTTGGTTGTACAAAATAATTTTTGTGGCGAAATTTCACTTTTTGACTCTTCTAATTTTAGAGAGAGACTCTCGATTTTGGACTGTACAATTTACATTTTTAACCAGTTAATTTTGAAACTACAGTATAACCTCGATGTATCGCCACCGTTGTACCCGCAAAACTCGCATACCGCCAACAATTACGTCAGAACCGATTTCCCCACACTTAAATGCACCCATTGTACCGCCAAACTCAGGAACCGCCATATGCCACAATGTTCTGAGAAAGGTCGTTCAACCCCTTTGTTGGCCCCAGACAACACTCAGTGTTCTCCCCAGGCTGTTTTTGCAGCATGGCACCATGCATGCTCCTATAATTTCTTGCCATGCTGCTATCCTAGATCTTCTCTGCTATATATTCATAGTAAATCTAAAGTCACCATGCTGCTTTGATTTTACATAGAGTGCTGCTTTAACAGAAACATTGAAATACCATGCTTCTTTCAAAACATTCTGGGGAGAACACTGCCACTGCCAGGCTCCATCAAAGAATTTTACCTATATCGTTGATTTCACAGTTGACTCAGCCCTGGGGGTCAGATTTAGATGTTGTAATTACGTATAGTACGTGTGTCTAATCAATTTACATCCGAATACAATTTACCATATTACCTCTGTCGGTTATTTATTCATTCATTCACATCATATGGCTTCTTCCTATCTTCCAAGATCTGCTTATTTTATCTGAGAGAACAACTCAATGTCATTTTTTAGAGTTGTTTTCCCTTGAGTGCCAGCATGTGGAATCTCCCTCGTGGACGTTTCAAGCAAGTATTGCAATTTGCAATTATGGGAATGTCATCTAATTATAGTGTTTATGCTGGGGTGAAAAGTGATACTCAATATTACAGAGCAACGGTAAATAATACCAAAATATAACCAGAATAATCTTATGCTGGGGTGAAAAGTGATATCTCAATATTACAGAGCAATGAAAATAATACCAATATTACCAGAATAATCTTATGCTGGGGTGAAAAGTGATACTCAATATTACAGAGCAACGGTAAATAATACCAATATTACCAGAATAATCTTATGCTGGGGTGAAAAGTGATATCTCAATATTACAGAGAAATGAAAATAATACCAATATAATACCAGAAGAATCACTGAACAATTAATTCTCAAACAGAATATTGTGAAGTTTCATATATATGGATAGCAAACGAAGTCATGAAAATTGATCAAAAAAGCTAAATGACATAGAATCTAATGGTAAAATGATTAAGGTGAATGACTTATGGCACGCGTCACTGTATGTACAATCTTTATTTTCAAAAGATGTGAATGTCATTAAATGTAATACATTATAAACGCATTTTTACCGAAATTATGTTTTGGTTTCATATCACGATAAAATGAGGCAAGAAAATATTTAGCTGACGGATTTGTCAACGCAGCCCAAATGTATTTTTAAACAGGAAACAACTTGGAAATTTGAAATCATATTACAGTGCTGTATCATAATCAATGATAATTAAGGGCCTACCTTAAATTTGTAAACAAACTGTGTCGAAATTCAATGGTCTATCTGACACAAATCCCCGTTAAAACAAGACCACGCAACCCACACCATATACCTCACACGTTCAAGGCAACACCAATAAACCAATAAATAAACATGAATAAGCTAATTGTCTGCCGACACCCTATTGTGCTAGGTTTGCTTGTAAGGGATCAGCAGCATTGATTTAGCCTACATGTAGCCCAACAGACAGTTATATCATGATATAGCGACTTGGTCCCTCATAATCTCGTGTCTGTGGGGTTGACTCAAGTCATTAGAATCATCATATGTTCTTTCTTACGTGTCAAGTTATCGCTGGCTCGTGATCTTCATAATTCACAGGTATACAGGGTCAGCGCCTCCCTTGTTTATCTTCTTAGTTTGATAGCTAGCAGAATCTATTTCCCCTCGGGGTCAAGGTCGGCTAACAGTAATTGACAAAGCGGACACAAATATATCCGGAAATGCAACAGGTGGTTGGGGAAGATAACCACATTGACTATTGATTTGTGTCGGAACGTCTACAGTGTATGGAACTACACTACTATCTAACAACATTTGAATAAATTAATTTGCTTCTACCCAATGTAAACACACGAACATGAATATATTTATTGTATGTAATATAGCTAGGTGTAGCTCATGAGTAGTTGTGACGTCGGGTTCAAACCATGGAATTCGTCCAAATCCGGGTATACGTCTCTGGTGGTATATATTTTAATTCAAATTAGAATTTTATAATTGTTTAGCGGTCTCGGTCAATAGGTCGCGGGAGAAGGACAGTACAAACTATTCATTAGACGTATATTACATTGACCTACTTTCCATTCAGAGACGTATAAAGCCAGAGATTGGAAACTACCTATAAGTCTTACCGGCGCGCACCCGAACCGGAAGCCGCCATATTGTATCGTATTTCCCCCGTTGACTTTTCGAGGCACCACTGACTGGGATGTCAGTGTGAAACTATGGAGTTGTTGTCCTTCACCAGAATTCTATTCACAAACAAGTATTCAAATGACTGTACACTGTACAAGAGTGCTCACAAATGGTTAGGGGCCGTGTTCAATATTTACATCCTATGGACTGGGGGGATAATGCTGCTACGACTGAGCATTAACCGCTGAAAATGTACACTACAGTACCAATACTAAAGGTCTCTTTACTTCGTTCGACAGTTCTTGTATCTAAGGAGACTTTGTAAGGGAATAATTCATCGGCTCAGGTCGCGAGAATGTTAACGTAACCATTTTCCTCATTTTTTTTTCAACATGGAAACCCCCCAGGAAATTTGGACCCCCCCCCCCCCCCCCCCCCCCACACACACACAGATAGGTCTCTGGATCCGCCACAGTCCTGGGAGACGTCACAGGCTCCCTGCACTTTCGGGTGACCACTGTCAAGCACAAGGTGGGTGAATAGTTCAGGATCTGAGGTCAGGGATGAGGCCTTACTGAGGAGTTCAATCCCGCCAAGTTTTCCTTTCACAGTTTGTCGTTCCTTGTCGAGTACCTTACATTTCCGCTATGAAGTGCTGTCTGGTTTCTGGCTCCAAGTTGCAGAGTTTGCAGGTCGGATCTACCTGAAATTGGTTGAATCAAGCCCTGTTACCTTGTAGCGTATACGTGCCTGTGAGGAGTCTAGCCTTGATTTCTGCAGGCTTGACGTCAAAGATTTTATGGACAATTCCCCTGTAGATCCTATGCACTTTTCCTGGTGTTAACAATTCACAGTTGCCGAACTTCCGCGAGGGTTTTGTTTCAGTCTCCTCCTTCCATGAAAGCCTGATACTATTGTTGATGGCTGTGTTAACTCTCTCGTTCCATTTTGTCTTGGATGGGGTGTTCTGGCGTAGGTCGTATGCATCAGGGAGTCCATACATTTTGAGTACTCTTCGGACTTTTGAGAAGAAGCTACTGGAGTTGAAGTCCTTCACTGCTAATTGTCTGGTTGCCACTTGGTATTCTATACTGTCTTCTTTAGTGATGATACCATAGAATAGAGTCAGGATGTTCCTATGGATTATAGTCTCAACTGGAGGTATCCCAAGGAGTGCTAGGGTCATGGCTGACGAGGATCTATCCGGGATATGCTGTATGTGGCGTAGTGATTTTCGCTGGAAGGCCTCCAGCAGCTTAACGTCTGTTGCCGTCAGGTTCAACGTCTCCAGGCCGTAGACTAGTCTCGGTACGACGTATGTGGACCACAATTTCGCTTTGATTTCCTGGGTCATTCCACCATTACCATGAAATCCAGCCCCCATTAGCGAGTAGGCCGTCCTCCTTTCTAGCTGTACTTTCTGTTGGATGTTGGGCTTGTTTTTGTTGTTCCTGGTAATTCCTAGGTACACATTTTCCTCCACAAGTCCTACTGGCTCGTTGTACAGCTTTAATCGAGAGTTTTGGTTGGTGTTGAACTGGATCATCTTACTCTTGAGGGGGTTGATATTGTATCTTGCCCGTCGTGTGTAGACATCTACGTAGTCCAGTAAAATGTGCATCTCCTCGCTGGATTTCGCCAGTAGAGCTGTATCGTCGGCACACGTCGTGTGTGGTATGGATATCGTACCTATGGAAGCACCCGGGAGCTCTTCCATATCTAGAAGGAGTGGATTGTTATACCTCTTGTAGTGCATTGTGGAGACTACCCTCCCCCCTGTCGTACTCCCTGCAGTATGGGAAAGCTATCTGATACCGAGCCCTGCCATTTCACTTTCGACGTTGCTTCGGTGTAGAGGTCCTTTACAATTAGCCAGTCTCCTCCCTGGAAACCATCCTGGTATAGTTGACGGAGCAGTACCTGGTGATCCACCACATCAAAGGCTTTCTGTGCGTCTAATGTTGTAAAAAGCAGGGGTGATTTCGTCGAGATAGCCTCCGTAATGCATTCTGTAACGAGTAGTGCAGAACTGAGTGATGAAGTTTTCCTGGTAAATCCGACTTGCAGTCGTGACTGTGTAGGGTCCATGATGGTAGCATGCCTGTAGTTGATGATGTGCTCGATGACTTTAAGGAGTACCGTGGTGACTGTTATTCCTCGGTAGTTGGAGGGATTTTGAGGATCACCCTTCTTGAAGACCGGTGTGATTGCCCCTTCTTTAAGAGAGGAGGGTATCTTCTTTCGTGCGAATATGATCTCTATGATCGATCTGATGTACTCCAGCAGGACATTTTTTCCATACTTGATGTGTTCGGTGGTAATTCCCATTACGTCGGCCGCTTTGTTGTTGTTTAACCTCCGGACTGCTCTTATCACTTCCTCCCTTGTCGGGCGAGCTATTTCTCCTTTCTGCGCCAGATGTTCCATCATTACCACATCCTAGACCACCAAGTCTTTAAAGACGTCGTCATATCTGGGGTTGTTGGTTGATGTGGCTAACCTTGAAAAATGGGTTGCCCAGCCGTTGGTTATCTCCTCCTTTGTGGAAAGCTCCGCTGAGTCTATCACCAGTACATTGGTTCTAGTGCTTTTCTGCTTTCGCTGTTTGTTTATGAGACTGTAGAAAGTTTTGCTGTCCCCTCTGTTGTCCATCATTGTTTGAAGAGTTTCCTGTCGGAGTTTTTGAGAGTGTTGTCGCTGTAGTTTTCTCAGTTCCTGTTTTGTCCGTTTTTTTCCTAACGGTGCCGATTGCTAGGATCTGTGGGTTTTCCAGCACTTTTCCACATCCATAATGCATGTTTTTTCTTCCTTGTCGCATCATGTATTTCCTCGCTCCATACTTTTCCTTTAGGGCGCGCTACAACTCTGATCTTTTTGTAGTTTGGTATACTCTCTGATGTAGCCTTTTCCAGAACACTCGACAGATGTTGGATGATCATTTCCATCTGTAGTTCGTTTTTGGGTCCCGTTGGGATTGGCTCGAGTGTCTCCCTAATAGATCTCAGGTAGGTGTCCTTATCACAGTTCGCCCATTTAGGTTTGCTGAACTGCATCGTCGCGGATAATTTGGTTTTCCTTACTTGAATATGTATCTCTGTAGAGATGGGGATGTGGTCCGATACATTCGTGGTAATCCCTTGATCTGGTTTCACATCTCCTGTACTACTCCGTGCTTTACCGTTGCAGAGGATATAATCGATTTCGGCCTCGTCCTTCTGGTTCACATGGAAAAAAGTCGGCATACCCTTCTGCGATGATAGGAGCTCATTCTTGTTGACAAATTCTGTCAGGAGTTTGTCTCTGTCGTTGTTTGTGAAGCATTGAAGTCGCTTCACACGTATACCGCATGAGTACTTTGTTGATTATTTCTTGTAGTTCATCAAGAGTATCGATAAAATCCTGAGAGGTTGTATTTCCTCGAGATGGCATGTATACTGAGACTATACATAGGGGTGTTGGCAGTTCAATCTCAAGCACAACCATTCGGTTCCCTCCGTCCGGATGTTTCGTCACCTTAGCATCAATGTCATTGTGGTATAGTATGGAGACCCCTCCGTAGCCTCTGGTCACCTGGATTGGTGGTATAGGGTCTGAGGAGTCTACCGACTTGCTGTGTGCCGAGTGACTGGGGGCGAGGGAGTTTAGCTTGTCTAATTGGAAATCAAAGAGCCAATGTTCCTGTATGCACGAAATATCGGTGGTTTTTAACAAGTCATCCACGAACAGTTGGTTTGATTGTATGTTCTTAACATTCAAGGAAGCTAGAACGACTGGTTCTTCAACCGGACTTTTAGAGGGTGGCCTCTACATAAAAAAGGATTCTTGGAGGTTTGCTCTTCGTCTCCTCATCCGAGTAATTATGGGCCTTCTTTATTCTGTGTGCTATCTCCTGCTGGTTAGTTTCTCTTCTCCTTTGAGGTGTCCTTGCTCGAAACCAAATCGGGCAATCTCTTTGAGGTGTCGTGGTCATTTCCACATTTACTTTCATCCTGATTGTCAATCTCCAGGTTGTACAGTGGAGGTCCTGTTCTGAATATTGCGTCCTCCGAACTTGTAGGGGTCGGGACGTGGTTTATAGTGGTTTTATGGTTTGGTTTTTCTCTTCTATTCGGCCGCTCTGACGTGTGATGACGTTTATCAGTGAGGTTTGGCATCGTTCTCTCAGGCTGGTTGTTTCCTCGATTTTTTGGGGGTTGATACAGGGTCCATGCGTTAAGTTTTGGTGGTGGGATGTGTAGAGGGATTGGCTGGATGCAGTTGGGTTGTAGATTATGCTGTTCGAATGGGGCAGGAGGTACTGGAGTCCAGTTATGCAGCTGGAGAGGGTAGTACCCAGTGTTCATGGGGTGGGTCCTGAATGGACCAGCTGGATGCGCGGAAGGATTCTGGGTGGCTATATGCTGTTCTAGGTTGTAGATTCAGGATCTCAGTTGTTCCATTTCCAGCGCCTGTAGCCTTTGCCTTACATCATCAAGTTGATCGCATCCATGCAAGTTGGTAACGTTCCTATGCATTGTATCCTCCTGTCTTACACTTTGGCGCTCCTGTACATGTATGCCTCCCAGTTTGGATAGGCGGTTGGAATTCTCAAGATCTTTAATTTTGTTCTCTAGTGTAGTGTTTATGCTGCTGGCAAGGTTCCGGAGTCGGCTTTGTTCTTCTCTTCCTAATCGGTTTGGGCGAGTCGGCTATTTTACTAAGCTTGGCTTGGCTCTGTTCTTTCTTTGCTGTTTCGTCATTCCAAAGTCCTTGCGCTGTTTCCTTTAGTTCAGTTTGGTTGGTGTGTGTGTTTCCACTCAGTTTCTCAGGCTCATGTCTGTTCCTTTCTTTTACCCTTGTGATGCTGTCGTCTGGTACAGTATGGGGTTCTGGTTCGTCGGCTGTGTTTATCTCTGCTCCAAAATCTATCTCATCGTGAGTCGATTCCAGAATGTCGCCTTCATCGTGCCTCATCTGGTCTGTTTCTTCCTTCAATAACCTATTTATAGAATGGGAAGTGAACGGACATAGTTGTCTGCAGGAAAGACAGGTGTACTCCACCTCGTCTCCGTCGTAAAAGGCTACCAGGTGTGGGTCAATTTCTCGCACTCATAATGATACCAGATCTGACATCGATCACATTCGATTCCCTCGTTTGTGTATGTGTTGCATATCCGGCATACTTCTCGGTCAACGGTTTCGGACGATACACCGGAGATATGGCTTAAGTCACACCGAGTTTGTGTGATTACTAGATCTGACGCTGGTATGTCTCTTGCAAGATCCTCCTCGTCTATTCCTGTGAGGTCAGCTATGCTTCCTCCATCTGTTTCCCCATACGTGTAGCTCTTTGCATATACACAGAGGATGTTGTAGGGTTATCCTTGATGTTTTCTATGATGATGGGGAGGATTTCGTCATGAAAGATATTTGCTTGTCTTCCATTAATGAGAAGAGAACGCTGCGTGTTGTATAAGTTTATTGTGAACTTCAGTCTTTGACCCGGCTTCCCAGTTATCAGTCTATTCATTACTCTAATTATGGTTGCAGGGAAATTCCCACGTTTATCCATAGAGGCGTCGAACACAGTCGCAGCCTGGAAGCGCTCCATAAAGTGATTGTCGCTTAGAGAGCGTTCCATCTCGTTTCTCAGGAGGTCGTAGGACTCAAGATTACATTCGATTTTATACTGCCTGCCCCCGTCCTTGAGAATGATGTTCAAAAAATTACGATTTGAGGCACTCCTTTGTTTGGCCCGAGTTCTGTCATCATTTGGTGAGTAGTCTTTAAATCTAGTATTGGCTCTTGTGCCCCTGCTTTCTCTAGCAGCCGTTTCCTCTATCTCTCGGGAGACCCTAGCTACCAAGGAAGTTGGACTGTTCCTCAGCGAGTGTGAATCCATCATGTCCGAAAAAAGCCGCACACACAAGACCGCGGATATGTAAGATTCGGACAATTTCTTCAACTAACAGATAGATTTAAAAGTCTTAAAAATCATGGGATGGGTTGATAGAATAAAAAGATTTCGTATTCATAGTTTTGAGTCCGCCATTTTGGATTTGACCGGCAGTGCGGGCATACGTATAAAAGTCTAGAATAAGGTGGCGGTATGGGCTAAAAAATGTTCTAAAAGTCATATAAAAGAGAGCTGCACTCTTGCACAATAAAATGAAAGTTCAAGTAAAATACGGCTAAGAAGATTTCGAATTCAAAGTTTTGGGTGGGGGG